CGAGGGAGGCCCTGCCAGCGCCCCAGCGCACTAAAACACGTTTGTCAGTCAACGCCCCGCTCCGCAGCCATTTTGGCTCAGGCTCAACAGGACAATCGACTTACCTTGCGTACATCCTTTCTTGGAAGGGTCCACGATTGATGCTACGTCCTCTAGGGCCCCGTAGACCGTCTCGTGCGGCTCCTTCTTCAGGGTCTGGATGCCCCGGTCGATCACGGCCGTGGCGTTACGTCCTCGGCTTGGTGCGGCGCTCCTCGGCACTGGTCTGTGGTGATCACGAAGCACTGCTCGGCCCGCTTGGTGGCCTGGCCTTGGCGTTTTTGGACTTGCCAAGGGCCCTGGGGCGCTGCTACCTACCGGACGCCCGGACCAGGACGTTTTCACGACCAACCACGCTTGGCTGACCAGGACACGGCAACGGCTTTGAGCCTCGCAAGCTGAATCACCCTGCGCAGATGGACCTCCTAGCCGGCAAGCTGGGAGTCACACGGAGGCAGCCTGGAGATAGCCGCACGCTTCCCGGACGATGGAGGGGTGGACGAGGTGGTGGCCGAGCAGATCCTGGTCCCACGGACGTCTTGCCGCGTGAGGTACGTGGCTTTGCGGCCGCTTGCGCACGCCCGGCGCAACCTGTCGTCCAATTCAATTCGGCCGGTTGTACTGCTTCGGCTCCAGGCGTGGAACTACTGTAGGCCAGTTCCGTCTTCACGCGGCTGTGCGAGAGGTCGGTGAAGCTTGTGTTGCAGACCACATTGCCGGTGTTGCCTGCTATCACGAGGCAGCCGGGGTTGCGGTCGGGGAGAGCTGGGTGCTCTGGTGGTCAGCAAAGCTTCGTCGTGGAGCATGATGAGCTCGCAGCGCCCGAGTCCCTGCTAGGAAGACCGGACGCTCTGGTTTCCCACCATCACGCCTCGGGGCCGCTGTTGGCCAGGCGCCGTTGTTGTTGATCGTCAGGCTGGCCTAGCCGCTGTCCAGCATGTTGCTGGTGTAGAGCTGCGGCCGTCACGGTGCCGGTGCTGTTGACGTTGCCGCAGGCCACGGTGCCGGTGGAGACGCTGCCGCTGGTCATGGCGAAGGTGCAGGTGACGCTGCCCGAGCTGACGGCTCCGCCGCCCACGTCCAGGGAGGTGCCCACCAGGGTGTTGGTGGAGGTCACGGCTCTGCAGGACAGGTCGCCAGTGGACGCGGCGCCGCTCAGTCGAGACATCGTCTACAGTGTTGAAGTTGCACGCTGGTGGCGGTGTTGGTGACGCTGAGCGCGCCCCCGGAGATGGTGCCGGTGGCAGAGAGCACGCCCACGCTGGCCGCGCCGCTCAGCAAGCCCCGCTCAGGGTCCGGACGTGGAGAAGCCGCCGGCGGTGAGGGCCGTGCCGGTCACGCCTGTTGTGAAGACGTTGGCGGTGTTGACGTCGTTGCAGAGCAGCTGGTTGCAGCCGATGTTGCCCTGGGCCGTGAGCCCGTCCAGCGTAGCGGAGCCTGAGGGCCAGCGTGTTGCCCACGGACCGAGACGGCCTCAGTCTGCAGGCTGTACAGGTCTGCTGCACCAGGCCGGATCGTCCCGCCGAAGGCGTCGAAGACGCTGCTAGGGGGCACGGTGGCCGTGCAGACCCTAGTCGTTGTCGGACGTACATGACAAGGTGGGTAACGCTAAGGGTTTTCTTTTCCCTTGTGTTTATAGGTAGCCCTCAAACTCACGATTAGGACTCGCAGTCCTGGTTTCGTCTGCCCTGTCTCCTTGTCTCAGCTTCAAGCTTCTCTAAAAGACAAGTGCATTTTGGAGTGGATGGGCATCCTACAACTCTGCAGAGACTCAAGCCTTCTTGCACAAGCAGTCATCAAATCAGCCTACAGTTTTGCTGGAAGGGGAGACTTCCTTGCGCAAGTTTTCGGCCACTACACTTTCGCAATACCTGCGCGCCGTTCGCGTATTCCTGGCCTTCGTCGCCCAGTGCGCAGGAAGCCTCGCCCTACTTAGCCTTGCGCACCAGGCCTCAGTGCAGGAAGACAGGTTTGCGTTGAAATGCAGCCCCTTACTAATGTGCAAAGCGCTCACATTGGTCAAATACGAGGCTTGGCAGACCTGATGGTGAACCCCCTACTTGGATGACCGGTTGGGCTTGTAAGTGCTTGCAGCATTTGCATGAGTTAGTAACTAAGTTATAACATCGCTAACCAATGTTATAACCAACTTAAAGTAATATATAAGTTGCGCAACAACAACAACTTGATGCGCAGACTTATAAGTACATACTAAGTAGCACGCGAAGTTGTTCAAGTTATAAGTGCTCACCGTTGAACTTACGGAGCGGCGTTGCAACTTAGTTGCGGTAGTTATATGTATACTTATAAGTATCACTGTGCTGTTTAGCGCAAGGTTATAAGTTGGTTTGGTTGAAGTTACATAACGTCTATGGTTCAACTTGTGGGAGTTACGTCGCTGAAGTTATAACTTCGACTTGACCCACTTACTATGTCCCACCGTTGGACTTAGTAAGTTCGACGTGTTGGACTTAGCAAGTCCGACGCGCTGGAGTTACGTGGCATGTGTTTTGCAATTTACACCACGCATTTTCTGGGTCACGCTGCCGCGAAATCATGTGGCGCAACTTTTCCGCAGTGGTTGTGCGTGTTTTTTACACTTTGAGTTTGAAAAGGCAAGTGCGACGGGCGGTGAACATGCACGCTTGCAAGTGTAGCCTTGGATGTATATGTGAGAACTTTTTTCCATGCAAGATATCACTGGAAACCATAGTTGCAATAATTCAGACGTGTTTTTTTGCAAATACCAGTGGCTCAAACTGACTTGACATGTTGCAACAGCGCGAAGAGCCTCTGGAGCAGGAAGTCTTTGTGCTTGTTTGCGGTCAATGTTTTGACATCGTTTTATGCTTGAAAGTTGCAGGGTGAACGTTTTGTGGTTTCGGATTGCGAACTTGTGGATGCATGTTTTGCACGTGGAACCCGCGTCGAATGCTGATGCTTCATGGAGGATAGCTCAGGGCCTCAGAACCGCTGCACGCATGTCACAAGACAAGAGCCGTTGCGTGTTTGCTTGCCGGGCAAATTGCCATTCTCAATGTGTTGCGTTTGGAAATAGTGCAAAACAATGCTAAGTCTTTAGAGGGAATCATTTTGACCTGGTGACGTTGAGCCCATCTCGCTCGGTGTGTTGCAAGGTGTGCCCAGAAAGGTGTCTAAAGCTGGAAGCTGGCGTCGAAGGCGGGAATTGCAATTGCAGAGCGCCTTGCCAACTTGGCGCTCGCAGTCTTGCAGTAGCAGAGCACGCGTGCTCGCTGGCCGTATCCAAGTTGCATGTTGCGACCGCCTGTGGCCGTGCAGTCCTCAATCTATAGCAACAGCCCCTTGCGTGTATCTAGAGGGACGCCTGTTGATATGGCAGCCTTGACAGAAGACTGCAGGAAAGAAATTGAAGCCCTTTTGGACAAAGGGGGCCCGCTTGTGGGGCAAATGACTCGGCTTTTCGACCTTCTCCGCGTCAAGGGCCTGCTTTGGGAGTCGATACTCCCTTGCAACCAGATTGGAGTTCACCCAATGAACCGGAACGGCGCCGGAACAAGCGCCTCACACGTGGAAGAGCTCCTCACCACGTTTGTTGAACTTGGGTTCTGTATGTCTCAGACCAAGTGCGTTTGCATTGAGGTCCCCACAGGCGACGCATCAGTCTCAACCTTCAATGAATCCATGGCAAGGGAATCCCAAGGACGGCTGGCGCAAGTTGTTCCGGGCAGCATCCGGTATGCCAGTGTGAGTGGCAGTCACACATGTCAGGCGCTTAGGATGCTGCTAGCGTCCTGCAAGCATCCTGACCCGACCCTGACAAAGGATGGAATGCTCAGCATGTCTGCTGTTCGTCTGAGAGACGCATGGCTGGCTGACGCAGCCGAGACCGGACTGAAGTGGACAGTGCTTTCACATGAACTCTTCAACATCCCTCGCGTCGCAGACCTTGTCCAGGCTGGCATGAACTGCACCAACCACACTACTCTTGCAGAGACGGAATTGCAGTTGTGCCGAAAGATTCTGGAAAAGGTGGTCCAAAGGACCAAGGAGGGGCAAGAGAGCTTGCAATGGGCTGACATCGAGAAGGAGGTGCTACGGTCAAAGCCTCCAGGGGCAATGGCATGCCCCTTCATGTTCGCGTTTGTCTGCAAGTTTGGCGGCGGAACCTTGGCTTTGCTCAAGCATGGTTTTTTTTGGGACATGTGCCCAGTGATAACTTGTATTATTTCACATCTCGCACTATCTGTCAAGCGTCAGGCAAAAAAGCGGACTTCATGAGCAAGACAGAATCGTTTGTCCGTGCTTTTGGACGCCCTGAAAGAATTTTGGGCGTCGAGTGGTGGGCTGCCATATCTTCTGAGACCTTTGGCAAGTTGAAGGGGGGCGCGGCAATTTGGAGGCACAGTTTGGTCATGCTGGCGTACACCGCCCCCGACAAAATGGTCGTGTCGAGCAACGATGTGAAGCGCAGCTTCTCCAACAAAGAGTGCCTCATGAAGATCCAGGAGTACGAGAAAATCCGCAACATAGTGGTGCAAATGGCCAACGCGCGAGGGCAGTCCCTCCAACCATGGGAGCGCCTGCGCCTGCTGGGTGAGTTCGATTGCGCCTGCGCAGCGGTGGTTCTTGACAAGAAACACAAAGATTGGCCGCTCGAGTTTGACAGCTTGAAGGCAGTGGGCAACTGGTTTGCCGAGCGGCTGTCACAGAAGACAGAGTGCGAGGTGCCCAAGCCCTTTGATGAACCCAAGCCCACAGGCAGAGGTCTCACACCATCTTCGCGGGGCGCGGCGTGCTCAAGCAAGGAAACCTTGCCGAAGCCCGCGTTGGCAGGCTCATCCGTGAGGATCCGAGAGCTGGCGGAGGATGGCAGTCTTGCAGACACGTCGGGCCTGTCCGACAAAGGGTTTTCAGCAGGGGTGAAAGTTGTGGACAAGAAATGTCATCCTGAGCACGGACACCTGCAACGTGCACGTTGAATGGTGCGACAGTGGAAGCACTGAAGCAGTGAAAACGTCCCTTTTTCTTGAGGGTGCGTTCAGGCCTTTAGCAAACCAGAAGGTTCACCAGGAGGTCGAGCTCACAGACTTCCGGAGCAGCCCCAGCTGGCTGGAGCAGCGGGCCAAGTCATCGACATTCTTGGCACTGTATGAGTTGTCAGAGAAACTCCCCACCTTTGAGTTCATCCTGTACCAGAAGCCCAAAGCCCTGAAGTACGTTGGGAGCAACTCTGTAGGCAAAGGGAAGCTGCAACTGGCGCCCGTCACGACGAAGGTTGTGCTGGGGTCGGCAGGGTCAGTGGTGCTCGGCTTCGTCGAGTTGGGCGGGGAGAAGAAGACTGTGTGCCTTCAGCCATGCGCTGCCTTCACATCACCCTTTTGGCACATGAAAACATCCAAGGACCCCGAGGAGTGTAACATGATTTTGAGCCAGGCTTCGCAGGTGAAGTTGAGTTTGGGCAAGGTGTCCATCCAGGTGGCTAAGAACACCCAGAAGATCGAGCCAGGAGATTTCCTATGCCTCATGTCCAGCGAGGGCGATGGTGAGGAACACTCTCCTCCTTCGAAGCGGCAGAAGCAATGAGCCGGAGGGGCGTGATCGAGTTCCAGAAAGCAATGAAGTCGAGAATGTTTTTGACGATGTAGAACGGCGATGTGAATGTAGGCCAGTGTGTATAAACCAGGCGGCGACTGCGCGCAAGTGTGTCACAGAGCATGCGCAGCGCAGGTTTGCCTTGACACTGATTGCAGTGCAACTTCCTGAATAGAACCATCTCAGGCATCAAGCGGGTGTTTGTTATGTAGGCTGGAGCGTGCAACCTTGATGCCGCAGCAAGGGCCTTTGAGTTTGATCAGCCACAAGGAGGGATTGCTTTCTAGTTCTTACCATGTAAAAAGCCAGGCGTGATTTGCTAGACCAGCGCGGTATTATTTCGCGCCTCTGCCCCCCATGGCAGACGGAGAGTCCTCGCGTGAGGAAGACCAACCGGACGCTGGCAGCGACGTGTCTGAAGACAGGGGATGGCAAATAGACACTTTAGTTGTTGTCCGCCACCCCAGTCTGAAGAAGCAGTGGACGCCTTCAACCAAGCATGTAGGCCAGCAAACATTCTTCAAGTTGAGCCGATGGGATCGTGGATGCACAATGGCCTTCACTGGAAAGGGGCTGGAGCTTCGCGCCAGCAAAACTCCAAATTGCATGTCGGATGAGGGCTGGAACCAGTTGATCAGTGGAAGAAAGGCTGCCTGCAACGCACAGCTCCACCGATCTCTTGCACGAGCGGCTGCAGAAGCTGGCCTCCCAGCCCCACAAAAAATGAGAACTGCCAGAGAGGAGGATTGTGTTATAGCTGGCCAAGTTGTGAACCTGCAGCTGAACAACGGAGTTGAACTGAAATGCCTGTGGGGAACGAAGCAGTTGGACAGCAACATTTGGCTAGAGCTTACCGCTGGCTGCTTGGAGACTTTGCAGGCGCTCATGAAGCCATGTGTGAATGAACACCAGGCAGAGGCAGCAGCCAGCGACGTGCAAGGTGAAGAGCCGGGTGCCAAGGTGAAGAAACGTAAGCTTCGACGGCAAGGCCCGCGCTCCCCAAAGAAGACACGCAGAAGTACAGCGTTGCCAGCTCCAGATGCAAACGGCGACGGAGCTCACCAATCCAGCGGCTAAATGATGTCCTTGTGACCTATTTTTGGGTGGGCGACCCACGGGTGGCTCTTTCAAAGGAGTAAAATGCCTGAGCGACCAGGCGCTGCAGAGAATCATTTTATCTCGCAAGCGCTGTGAGTTTGCAGAGAGAGATCTCGCAAACGGTCTTGCAATCTTTGTTGCGGCGGTGTTGCAAGGAGTCTGCGCCCTTGCCTCCCAGGTGATGCAAGCAACACTGACATCTATACGCAGGCCATTTTTGCTGATCAAAGGCAACCACCATGTGTTTCTTTCATATCTGCAAGCCACCCCTGACTATGAGGATGTGGCAGCGCTTCTCAAGTGAAGCCAGGATCATTGCCACCTGTGGAGGTCACCCTGATCATAGGCGGGATGAGTTCAGGTTGTTGCGCACGCTCGAGTTGTCTAGGCGAGCGTGAAGGCTCTGCCCGGCCTTGCTGCGAGCTTAGCCCTGCAGCTTGGCCCTGCAGCTGGCTGTCATTCGTGCACGCTGGAGGCACCGACCTTTGCAGATCGTGCTCGGCTACAAACTGGTGGGGGTCCCAGTTTGCTTCCATGCCATTTCTGCAAACCTCACGTGGTCAGCGTTTGAGTCGTGCATCTGCCACCTACTGCATGCCTTGGCTCACACAGTGCCAAATGTACATGGCGATTGTTCACGTGCAAGCCAAACATTATACATCACCCAACCCAACAAACATGCCAGCCCAGCACCACTGTCACATCATCACCACATGCCACATGCCATCGCGTGCCATCACCGCATGCCAGATGCTGAAACCGCACATTGCATCATTACAGCATCAGCACGGGGCGCAACGGCTGGCTGCTGGACCCATATGATGGGAGCCATGGACACGGCGGTGACCGACGCCGACGTGCCCGCCGCGTCGGCGTCGGTCACTGATGACGCGGCGCTGGAGCACACCTCTCCAGCAGAGGAGGAGGAGGACGCCGAAGCGAGTCTTCGGCGTCAGGACCTGCCGCTAGGGGGGGCGTTCGAGCTCCTGGTGCTGGGCCCGGTGATCCCGCAGAAGGAGGAGGAGCCGGCGGAGGAGGAGAAGACGCCGGCGGAGGAGATGAAGAAGCAGCCGGAGGAGATGAAGAAGCCGCCGGAGGAGATGAAGAAGCCGCCGGAGGAGGAGATGCCGGCGGAGGAGATGAAGAAGCCGGCGGAGGAGATGAAGAAGCCGGCGGAGGAGATGACGAAGCCGGCGGAGGAGATGACGCCGGCGGAGAAGATGAAGAAGCCGAACAAGATGAAGAAGCCGCCGGAGGAGATGGAGGAGATGGGGACGGAGCCGGCAGAGATGATGGCTCTCGCGGTGGAGAGCACATCCGCCGAGGCGAGTGAGGGGGTGGAAAGCAGAGGCGTCAAGCGGACCCTGGCTCCGCACGGCTCCCTAGCCAGGGCCTGGCAGGGAAAGATCCCGGCCAAGGGGAGCGCGAACCTGGCCAAGCCGGCCAAGGGGAGCGCGAACTCACAGGAGGCGCCGCCGGAGGCGCCGCCGGAGGCGCAAGGGAGCCAGGAGAGCAGGCAGGAGGAGGGAAGCAAGGAGGGAAGCAAGGAGGAAAGCAAGCTCCCCTGGAAGGGTCGGTGGAGCAAGGAGGGGTGGAGGAAGGGTGAGTGGAGGAAGGAGTGGAAGAAGGAGGATTGGAAGAAGAAGGATTCCAAGGAGGAGGAGGAGTGGAAAAAGGATTGGAAGAAGGAGGAGTGGAAGAAGGATTGGAAGAAGGACTGGAAGAAAAAGGATTGGAAGGAGAAGGATTGGAAGGAGAAGGATTGGAAGGAGAAGGGTTGGAAGAAGGAGTGGAAGAAGGGGTGGAAGAAGGAGGAGGAGGAGTGGAAGAAGGATTGGAAGGATGATGAGTGGAGGAGGAGATGCCGGCCTGATGGCCGGGGCGGCTACTACCTGCCGCATGGCCAGGGCTTCATCGACAGCCATGGGCAGCTGCGGAAGCAGCTCTGCCACACATCGGCGTGTTTTCAGTGAATATTTTTGTTTTTTGTGTTTTTTTTTAAAGTGAAAACTGTTGACTGTCTCTTTCATTTTTCTGCTTTTTTGCTGAGGCCGGGAGAAGGCCTCATCGGCAAGACGCGGAACAGAGGAGGGCAGCGCGAGCAAGCCAAGCGGAGCGACATGCGGGCGCTGATCAACATGGTCACGAAGATCACAGATCTTCGAGCAGGAGCTGGCCCACCAACTGAGTAGGCCGGGCAGCCGTTCCGGCTGCGGGGTGGCTCAATTGGCACTGCATCAGGCAAGAGTGACCACTAACAACCCCAGCTGTTCGAATTTGAGCCGCTCCCAGCCTAGAAGGCGTGCCCTCAGGCGTCGCGCAACTTGCGCGGCTTTTCCTGAATAGGAAGCCATGTCGCAGCCGGCTGCAAGCAACCGCAGCATCATATAGCAAAGACACACCTAGCTGGCTGCGCACAGGGATCCCCGATTTGAGGACCTCATCGCAATAGAGCCGACGAGGTGAAAACAAGTGTGCGGTGTGGTAATGGGATTGCATGGTTGATCAACATGTGATTTACACGGGATGATGGGGAGGCGCCACTAAAGTTTACTAGGAATTCCTAAATCGAAACACTAAGGAGACGGCTGGGGTGGCCATTTGTTTTGTGAACAAGGGCAAGCAACAAAGATCAGCCCCCGATTGCCGTGATAAACAAGTCTTTGCCTTGTCAATCAGCTGCTCCACATACGTGTGCCCGGCCCAGGCGTGACGCATCCAGGACAAGGCCAACAGTCCGGGAGCCTTGGAGTTCTTCCTTGAAGCCAGACCCATAGTGTGAGGGACTGTGTTGATCTACCAGATACTGAGTGCCCCAACGAGAAGACACGCAGAGTCTAACAAACATGGATGTGCGTAAGCTGATCTATGGGAATACCCACACTTTATTGATCAACATAAACAAAGGCCCCAAGATTGTTGATCAACAACGCCGGGGATGTTGACCTTGTTGATCAACAATGTCTCATGGATGGTACCGTCAATCTTTTGTCGATCAACAATGTCGGAGACCCTAGGATTGTTGATCAACAAAGTTGATCGGGTCGACCTTGTTGATCAACAAACTATTCGATCACCAGCATCCCAATCCCTAACTCGAAATGTGCCTGCAGCATTGCTAGGTGAAGCGGATACCACTGGACTCCGACACTCGCTGTGAGGGGGTGCGATATGCTCAAACCGGAGTTCAGCCACCGCTGCAACAAAGATGCCACATTTGATTTGGCTTTCTTGTCTACCCTCCGCAAGGGCAACTCAAGGCCATACCTGGCTCGTAGAATGGAAACGTATGAGTTGATGGCGCTCCTGATTTGCCTGGTGCTGACCCTGAGCATTTCCCAGATCCTAGATCCACAAGACCACCTTGATGAGGATTGTGGTTGATCGTTTGAAGGCACACCTCTGGCGCTCCAGGATTTGGACGTGAGCGACGCGAGCGACGTGAGCGACGTCTCTGGGCTGTCCGATTATCAGAGCGACTATAATTAGGCCAGGATTGCAACATGCATGTCTAATCACACATGCATGTGAGCGGTGTTGTTTGGCTGGCGTGTCTTACCAGTTGCAGAGCAAATGCTCGCATGGAGCAGCAGAGTAGTGCTCGCTGCAGCGTACATTTGCGGCTTGTGTCCCATAGGCTGTCAGCAATGGCAACCCGTGATGAGAGGGTTGTAGCTCATGCCAAGGAGCTGCAAGACTTCATGCGCAGTCAGGAGCCTGTGCTGAGCAAGCAAAAGTATGAGACCCTGATCGACAAGCAGTTTGGGGAGCTTAAGAAACAGCTGGGAGCTGCCCCCCTGTCTCTCAAGGGCTGTGTGGAGCTGACTCAGCACCTGCGTCAGTTCGCCTGGGGAGATGACAAGATGTCGGAGTTCTCCGACCTCATGCAAGAT